CCTCTGCCCAGAGCAGTGTGGAGGATGGACTTTTCCTGACTCATTAGGAAGGTTGAGAACCACTGATACAGCCCAATATTATTTCCCCCTGTAACTCTCTCTTTTGTGTGTGTCTATGTTTTGAGACAGGGTATCACTATATAGCTGGCCAAACTCACAGAGATCCCTGTGAGTTTGAGGCCACCCTGGTCTACAAAGGAAGTTCCAGGGCAGACAGAGCTGTCACACAGAGAAACCTTGTCTCGTAAAACCAAAACAAACAAACAAAAAGAATGCTGCTTCTTCACAAATGTGTGGTAATAGGCTGGAGAGATGGTTCATAGGTTAAGAGCACTGGTTGTTCTTCCAGACATCCTGAGTTCAATTCCCAGCAACCACATGGCAGCTCACTAATGCGTGGTAGTATGTGTACGCCTCCCTGTGACTTCATCACTAGCGTGTGGTAGTGTGCACACCTCCCTGTAACTTCTGCAGGACACACATCTAGTCTGTGTTGTTTCTTTGCTTTTTATGAAATACTTGAGTTTTTATGGAGGCTTTATATATATGTACACACACACACACACACACACACACACACACACACACACACACAGAGACACGTTTGTTTTTTGTTTTTCAAGACAAGATTTCCCTGTGTAGCTTTGGAGCCTGTCCTGGAACTAGCTCTTGTAGGCCAGGCTGGTCTCGAACTCACAGAGATCTGCCTGCTTGTGTCTCCTGGGTTCTGGGATTAAAGGTGTGCCCCATCACCTCCAAGCTTGTTTTTTTCTTTTAAGAAATTATTCATTCTCTGTCTCTCTGTCTCTCTGTCTCTCTCTCTCTCTTTGTGTGTGTGTGTGTGTGCCTGCATAAGTTTATGTGCCCTGCATGCATGTTGATATCCTGAGGGTCAGGGGACTTCAGATCCCCTGGAACTGGAGTTACAGGTCACTTAAGGTGCGTGCTGGAAGCCGAACTCAGGTCCTCTGCAAGAATAGTGAGTGCTTTTAACCACTGAATCATCTCTCTAGCCCCAACTTTTTTTTTTTTTCTTTCTCAACAGTGTTAGACCCCCGAAAACTCAAGTATCCGGGGTCCCAGGCCACGTTCGAGGTCACCCCAATCACCAGGTGGATTCAAGAGCTTGCTGCAAACTGCACGAGGCTTTATTGTAATTTTACGAGCTAACCCCATGTTAGCTCGGGTCTTTCACCCACCCACCATGGCAGATGGCTAGCAAAAGACGGCTCCTGGGGCCTCCCAAGAGATCTTATAGGACAGCATAAGGGGAGTGTCTAGGGGTACGCACAGGCTCAGGATTGGTATGCCTCCAGGCTTGGAGGGTTTGCCCTGTGTTGATTGGTCAACTGGTTGTTATGGCCCATAGGCCCTACCAGGGTGGTTGCTATGCTCTCTACGTCATTGCTGTGCGCTTGTCCGTAAAGCACACCCAGAGCCATAAAGCATAGAGCCACCAGCTAACTTCTGATTGGTTCCTTGTCACGAGGCAGGCATCTGACTTTCTAGTGTCTGGGACAAGGTCATAGAAGCACGTGTTCGGCCATTATGGCTGCCAAAGGGAAGCTGGTCCCTTCAACAGTTAAAGTAAACTGAAATTTACTACTCTTTTCCTTGATGATGCTATGATTTGGGGGTCTTGTTTAAGAAATCAGGCCTTAGTCCAGTGTTTAAGGAAGTGTCCCCTGCATGTGCCTGGAACAGGCTAATTCTGCCTTCTCCTCTTTGGATTTGTGATCTCTGCTGTGCTGTGTGGGGCTTGCGACTTGTTTTCTCAGTTGGGCCACTCCATGTGGCTTCTATTGTTCCTTCCCATACAGAATCCTGCTGTGCCTTTCTTGGTACCTGACACCTTACTGGACAAACAAGGCCTGGGGTATCTAGAACAGTGTCATGTCTCCAACCCCCATCCCCCACATCCATTTTAGATTCCCATCTCTCTGATTTTTTTCCCCCAAGATCTGCATTTCTTTTCTTTTCTTTTTTGGTTTTTCAAGACAGGCTTCTCTATGGCTTTGGAGGCTGTCCTAGAACTAGCTCTTGTAGACCATGCTGGTCTCGAACTCACAGAGATCCTCCTGCCTCTGTCTCCCGAGTGCTGGGACAGAAAGCGTGTGCACCACCAACGCCTGGCTTGGGTAACATTCTTCAGGTGCTGAACACCTTTTACATTTTATTTTTCAGATTTATTTTTGTCTTCCTTCCCACTGCTCCCTCAGCACCACCTGTGCTTATCCCCCCCCAACCCCCCCCTCCCCCCGTCACATCTTGGCTGTGTATGAGCCTGGTTTAGAACTTGTCAAAGAGTCAGAATTTAATGTTTCACGTGTCTTCTATTGTTCATCTCTTTGAAGGATTTGTTAGATCTGAATGCACATGTACTTCCAAAGTAATTACACAGAAATGTAATCCTGAAGATGATGCCGTCAGGAGGTGGGGCCAGTGGGAGAAAAAAGGTCACAAGGGCCCAGCTCCTCTTAGGATTTTATGAGTACCCTTATAAAAGACTCCAGAGAACTGTCTGCCTGCTGCTATCCTATGAGGACACAGGGAGGAAGTGATGTCATTTTGATCATGGGCTTCTCAGCCCCTCATTTTTCAGGACCATGTCATTGCTTTTGAGCATGAGTATTGTTACAGCAGCCTAAGTGGGCTCACTTCTGATGTCTCCTTGAGGTGGAGCCCATTTTCCTTCTGTCCCCCTGAATAGTTGCAGTGTAGACCAGAGAGTACTCAGCAGTGAACTGGACTGACTTACCAACTTTATGTGTAATTGATTTCTAAACCTTTTGAGTTTTTATTATGATGATCTTGTCATATTTAGTTAGTGTTGAGACACAGTCTGCAATGTAGCTAAGGATGACCTTAAACTTCTCATCCTCCTGCCTCTATCTCCTAAATGCTGGTTGAGTTACCAACCAGGGTAATTGCGCAGGGTCTGGGCCAGGCATTTTCAGGCTCCCTGTCTCTTATTCAAGGAATTGAAATAAAGATTCTCACAAATCTCCAAGTATCAGGCAATGTTATTTAAAACAAAGCAAGCCGGGTGGTGGTAGCACATGCTTTGAATCCCAGAGATTGGGAGGCAGAGGCAGGTGCATCTCTGTGAGTTTGAGGCCAGCCTGGTCTACAGAGTGAGTTCCAGGACAGCTTCCAAAGCTACACGGAGAGACCCTATCTCAAAAAAAGCAGAAAAAAAAAAAAAAGCAATAGAACAGGTCATATCCACCATGAAGAGTGACAGCAGAGCCCAGGATTGGAAAAGCACCTAAGGGCCCTGATCCTGGCACTGGCCTTCTTTTTGTAGAGTTTGAGAGGAGGGAGAGTTTAGTCACTAGGGGGATGATTTGGGTGGTTTTATATTTTGTGTTTACTCTGTTTTAAGAGAGGGTCTTACTGTGTTACTCAATGAGGCTGTCCTGGAACTGGAAGAAATCCTCCTGCATATACCTCCCAAGTGCTGGGATTAAAGGCATGTGCCACCATTTTTTTTTTTTTTGTGGTTCTCTACTTCAGTTTTTAAGCTATGTAATCTTTTCTTTATTGTGCATGTCCCTTCCCATAATGCACCTGGTTAATCCTATGTATACTCAATTATGAGTAGGCACAGGATGGCAAATTGAGGATTCTTCTTAAAAGTTCAGTTAGAGGATAGAGTTTGTCTTACTGCAATTAATTGCCCACCCCTCCTGCCCCCACCAAACCAGTTGAAACCAGATCAGCTCCTCCTACTGTAACACAAATGGATCATGATTGGAAAGAAACTGTCTAAGTCTGAAGACTGTTAAGGGGAGGAGAAACTAGTTCCATTGTTCTGAGGCTGTGCACACAACTTGATGTCAGTGGGAATCCTAGGTTGCCATGTGCATTGTTCAGAGTGGGTATGTGTGCGTGGTCTGTGCAGGCAAGGTTTCTGGGCTGCTAGGTGTGTTACTGAAAGAGAGGTGTGCATATGACTATATGGAGTCCTAAGTTGCTCTTCCCATGCTGGCCTGACTTCACTGGTTTTACAGGTGTGCACCACCACACCTGGCTTGTGAAGTGCTAGGGCTCCATGCACATGAGGCGAATGCTATAGCAATTGATCGACATTACCAGTCTGATTCATTATCACACTTATAACATTTATGTAAAATAGCTGTTGAGATTTACACTGAAGTTACTATATGGGAAGTTTGTTGGTGTCTGTTTGAAAAGACTATCCTAGCCAATGCCTCATGAAGGCATTACCACTACAAAACCGTCAAGGCACTAATCTATTTTTTTTTAAAGACATACATTCACACACACACATCCTCAGTTTATTTTAAAAACTGCTAATAAATGATGCAGCAATTGCTATCATTTTTCTGTATCATTGTGTTGTTTCTACCATGGAGAAATAATAACAATAGTTCCTAGTGTTTGTCTAGTGTTACTATGTGTCAAGCTTTCATTTAATCTTTTGTAAGTACATGCAATGATTATCTCTATTTCCAGATGAAGTGACTGAAACACAGAGAGGTTAAGCAGCATGCCCAAAGTTAAACAGCTATTAAATGAGCAAGCTAGGAATTGAACAGTGTGCCTGAATCGAAAACTCAGGATTTGGAGCCAGAAGACGTGGATTTGACTCTCAGTTCCACCACTGCACAGCTTCGGTATACTTCTCTGTGCATGGGGACAGTGATAAGCTCTGCATCATGGGACGAATCTGCTGAACAGGTCCTAGTGTCATGTTCTGTCTCTGGAAATGACATGATCATTAAACACCTAGGTGGCTCTTTACACAGTCAAGGTCACAGTCAACATCAGCCATCACACCACTGGGTTATTTCAGAATAAATGCCGTAGTTAGGTGTGTTTTTTTTTTTTTTTTTTTTTTTTTTTTTTTTTTTTTTTTTTTGGTAAACCTGATGATACTGATGATAATGTATTTAGAGTAGATTATCTTTAAATCTGTACTAGTCAGCATGTAATGAATAATTTCATTTCCTCCATAGCCTGACATCAAGACCCTAATGGCTAATGAAGCTAATCCCTGCCCATGTGACATTGGTCACAAATTAGAGTATGGTGGCATGGGCCAGGAAGTTCAGGTTGAGCACATCAAGGCATATATCACCCGGTCCCCTGTGGACGAAGGCAAAGCTGTGATTATCATCCAGGATATATTTGGTTGGCAGCTGCCCAACACCAGGTATATGGCTGACATGATTGCTGGAAACGGATACACGTACGTATGAAGTTCTGTTCTTTGCTTAAATTCCTGTGAACTTCTGTGGTCCCTTTTGTTCCCCTCAGAAAGACAGAACCCAAAACCTAACACAGCCTGAGCAGTACTCTCACTTACACTGTCCATTTCCTTATCCCAGTGAGTTGGCTTCTAGGAGGATGGCCTGGACTCCAATGTGCATCCCTGCCTCTGCCCTCCCAAGTACTAGGATTGGTAATGACCATGATTTCCAAACTGTGCCAGTGGCCTGTGATGGGACCTCTGTCATTTGATCCCCTGTATGATTTGTGTGTGTTCACAATGCATACTCGTGTATATGAGTGAGGGTTCATGCTTATCACAGTGAATATGTAGATGGAGGGCAGAGGACAAACTGTTAGTCTTCACTTTGCTTGTTTACTCTTTCTGTGGCCTGTACTTGAGCCTGCTGTGGACCTTAATCTTGAGGCAGGAAACTGTTGGTAGCTTGTGCAGAGGCTGGGGTGAGGGAGGCATTACTTGTTCACAATGACTAGTCATGTTCCTCAGGGGTGACCTTTGGCCAAAGCCAGTGTTCAAGGCCAGGAAAGTTCTGGGATGGCTGAGAACAACTAACTCACTCCATGGAGGAAGGAAGGACATTTGAGGGTACATATCCTTGCCCACCAGCCCAGGTGTTTTTCCTTCTGCACTGGAATAGTTCTTGAGAAGTGTCCCTGCTGGTGGCATGGTCACACCCAAGCTGCTGAAAGCTGTGTACCTGCAATTGTGGGAGCTGAGGCAATTTGGCCTGGTGCCAGATGACCTTAGATGCAATCAAGGATGGCCTTGGTGACCCAGGCTTTTCCTTCCCTCTGCCTAGAATTGGCAATTTAACAAGGCGATTAATGAGCCTGGACAAACATTGAGTGGTAGTGGTCAAAGGTTTATTCATGTCTGTATTTTATAGAACTATCGTCCCAGACTTCTTTGTGGGGCGAGAGCCTTGGGACCCAGCAGCAGACTGGTCCACCTTCCCTGAGTGGATAAAATCAAGAAATCCCAGAGAAGTCAATCGGTAAGTTATCAACAGGCTTGGTTTTGTATGTGACACAGACCAAGGAGCTAGGCTTCACCACAGTGTCTTCCCTCCCTCCCTCCTTCCCCCTCTCCCACTCTCTCTCCCCCTTCCTACCTTCTTCTCTCCCTCCCTCCTTCCCTGTGGGGGTAGGAGGACTTTGTTTGGCCATTGACAAAGTCCTTCCAACAGCATGGTGGAAATGAGTTTTGCTCCAGGCACACCATATGAGCTTTGGATGGAGACTGACAAGCAATCCTTGCCCCACTGCCCCAGCAAGCATAGCTGCTTACCTCCCTTAGCAGCAATGAGTTCAAAGTCCTGCATCCACATAGGTAGGTGCTTGTTTGCAAGAGTTAGGACACCTATCCCAAGTGAATCAGCAATTCAAAGAGCTATTGGTTTACAGAACCAAGGAAATTAGCTCAGGATCAAATAGAAATTGGCCCATAGCTTAAAGGTATCCCTAATCCTCATTCTTCCATTGCTGCTCAGCCTCACATCTTGTGTGCTGGCTTCATCTTCAAGTAGCTGTCTCCTCTGGGGTGAGGGAGAAACCTAGATCCAGGGAAACCCTCAAGAACCCACAAGGACAATTCCAACTAAGACTCCTAGCAATAGGGAGGAGGGATTGTACCAGCCAGGGGGGGGGCATGATGGGGAACTCACAGAGACAGCTAACTTGAGCTCAAGGGAGCTCATGGATGCTGGACCAACAGTTAGAGAGACTGCAAGGGACGGACCTCTGCATGCTTATGATAATGGTATAGCTTGGTAAGGTTTCTAACAGTGAGAGCAGGACCTCTCCTTGGCGCTTCATTCTGGCTTTTGGTAACCTGTTCCCCATACTGGATTACCTGGTCCTGCCGTGACATAAGGGAAGGAGCTCAGTCCTGCCTCAACTTGATGTGCCATGCTTTGTGCAAGCCCATGGGAGGCCTGCCCCTTTCTGGATGGAGATATAGAAGAGGAGGGGTAGGGGGATAGATGCGAGTCTGGGATGGGGGATGGGAGGAGAGAGGGGAAGCTAGCTGGTATGTAAAATTAATGAAAAAAATGTTATTTAGATAATAAAAAAGCTCTCAGCTTAGAGTCAGCCCATTCTTCCATAGTCTCTCTCCCAGCAACCTGAAGAGCACACATACCCCCTCCCTCCCCCCAGTTATGATTGGCTCTGCAGTCGGTCCTGGAAACTCATTATTCTGGTCAGGAGATGGCTCTTCTCTGGTCAGGTATGAGCCACAGGCTACTGTAACCACAGAGATTTAGTTTACCCAAATTCCACATTCCACTATGGAAGCAGTATTGTGAAGGTTTTATAGTAACAGAACAAAGATAAATTCTAAATCAAGAGACTTTTCAAATACATTGGTAGAAACATTGTGTGGTTACAGCAGAATAGAGAAATTGCAGCCATAGGACCCAGATGCTATCCGATAGCATTCTTAGCTCTTTGGTGGAGAGTATGGCTTTATTGAGTTGACAGTTCCAAGTGTTTTTATCTATTTATCAGGATGTGAGGTTCAGCTTTATCTACCAATTATGGGAGTTAGAGCCAACAGAGGTGGGCAAGAAATGGCGCATTAGTGGGCTACAGATAGCTCAAGATACACTGTAATTGGGCTGTACACCTGCAACCATCCAAACTCTCCACAGCTGCTTAGGTTTTCATTGTTAAGGGTCAGCTTTGCAGTCATAGTTTCTTTCTAGGAATTCTCATCACCAAACAAACTTAGAGTCATTTTCACTGAGACGTACCAGTCACTCTAATCTTGAACATTCACCAATCAGCCCCATTTCTTTCTGTTCTAGAGAGGTCGAGGCTGTCCTGAGGTATCTGAAACAACAGTGCCACGCCCAGAAGATTGGCATTGTTGGCTTCTGCTGGGGGGGCGCTGCTGTACACCATGTGATGCTGACATACCCAGAAGTCAGGGCGGGGGTGTCTGTTTATGGTAAGTGCTCTGTGTATGTCACTCAGTGAAAGGAGGGTGGCTGAGTGACAGGCCTCTCACATGCTGCAATACAAAACCCCATGGTGTGAGATAAACCAGTTTTGCATGGTTTTCTGAATCTGAAAACTGAACTGGGGAGATGGTTCAGATAGGTCTTGTCAGTATAGGGATTCAAGTATGAGTTCCTGAATTTGGTCCCTAGAACCTATGTTAAGGGAGGCAGAGACAGGCGTTTTGGATTACTGGGCACTTTACCTAGCTTACTTGGTAAATCCTAGGTCCTGTCTCAAAAATCTAGGTGGGAAAGCTCCCCAGGAACACATCCAAGGCTGTCCTGACTCCCACGAGCACGGGCACCTAGGCACTGGCGAATGCAATTGTATGCCTGTGCACACACACAAAAAAAGCAAAGTCCACTCTAAAGTACAAACAGCAACTTTCACTTTAAAGAAATTAGCTGGTTTAAAAAGATTGTATGGGCTTGTTACCTACATGTTTGTCTGTGCACAATTTGTGCACATGGTACCCATGGAGGCCAGAAGAGGTTTTCAGATTGCCTTTATGGGATGCTGGGACTTGAATCTGGGTCTTCTGGAAGAGTAGCTAGTAACAGCTGAACCACCTCTCCAGCCCCAACTTTTACATTTTAGACAAAAGAAAACAAAGTTATTCTAACCATGAGTTAAAACTATCTGTTGGCAGAAGCGGCACAGTGGATGTACAATTTAAAAGCATCCAGATTAAACTATGTCAAAAATAATATAAGAAAATTGACTGCTATTTCAAGTTACACATGCACAAGCATTTCTTATCTGGCATAAGAATATGAGCTCTTCAACATGGCACTTCATCTACTATTAGCACTAAGAGAAAACGCTAAAATATTTCCGTACACAAAAGGAAATATAGTTAGACACGGCACATACACTTGTAATCCCAGTACTTGGGAGGCTGAATCAGGATTGGAATTTTCTGGCAAACATGAGCTACACAGTGAAATCCAGTCTCAAAACAATAAAACAAATGCAATAAATCAACCGTTGGCCTCATTGTCAGGCCAAGGGTGCCTATGGGTGAATTAAGTGTCCTGTGTGCCTGTCTCTCTGGCGCCACCTGCTGACTGCTGTTGTGCATTATCTGAGAGAATTGGGCACAAGAGACATCCACTCTAGGTCCACACCCATTATGTGGCTTTGACAGTGGGGCAGAGAGCACTGCCATCCTTCCTGACTTCTTTGGGGGACGGAGGGGTGCTGGGGAAGAGAGACGCTGTATGCTTCGTAGCTTTGCTATCACACGGGCAGGAAACAGGGAAAAAGTTGTTTTTCTCTCATCTTTTTAAATCATCATGATTTTGTGTATGTGTGCAGAGAGCTTGTGTGGGCCTGCATGGAACAATGCCTGTGTGGAACCCGGAGATTAACTTTATATGGGTTTTGGGATCAAACTCTGGCTCTTAGGCTTGTGTGGCAAGTGAGCCCTATGACTAGCCATTTCCTGCCCAGTCTTCCAAAAGTCCACAGACTTGCCTTTCCCTCCAAGTAAATATACCTGGGGGTGCCTGGACTTGGAGGAGCAATCTTTGCACTAATTAATCTTTAGAACTCAGAGAGAAGCGTGGACACTGAATTTCATACAATGACCTACAGAACACTGGGGTCTTGTTGGATTAATATCCTGGTCCAATGACTGTCTAATTCACTGAAACCAGAACAAGTAAGCCTGTATAACTTCTAGAGCAGTGGTTTGAAAATTATGACCAGATTTAACAGCCATCTCAAGAGGAGCACACCTCAGATTGCTGTCCTCACACACCAAGCAGCCCACAGCATCAAGTTTATTGGCCTGGCTCCTATTGAACAAGGTGCAGAGTAGAAAGATTTGGCTAAGTAAGTTTCATAGGTCAGCCTTCTGTGGAATTGCTAAAAATTAAAATAAACCAAGGACTGTGGAAATGGTTAAGGCTGTCAGGTACCTCATATCCATGAGGACCTGAGTTCAGATCCCTGGCATTTGCATAAATGTCTGTTGGGGGAGGGTCTCTTACCCCTGCACCAGACAGAAGGGTCCCTCAAGTTCACTGGTTAGCCATTCTAGAGAAACCTTTCAGCTCGAGTCAATGAGAACCTGTAGCAAAAAGATGGATGGCATGTCCAGCCTCCACACGTAAATGTGGACACACATGTGAACATATGCATGTACCCACCTCCCCCCACCCCACAGAAACAACACATGCTTTACTTTATAAAACCACACCAAATCTAGGCGTCAATCTCTCCAACTCTTTCCAGGCATCATCAGAGACACCGAAGGAATTTACAATCTGAAGAACCCAACGCTGTTCATTTTTGCAGAAAATGATACGGTGATCCCTCTTGAGCAGGTGAGCAGGCAGCCCTGATAGTATTACCTTTACATTCTTGGAGCAAGTTCCAAAGAACTCATCTGTCACTGTAACTGTTTCCAATGATGAAAACTTCCTAAGAATGGAACTTAAACCCAGTATGGTCTTTTCAGAATGAGAGCCAAGGAAATGTTCCCAACATAGCCTGTTTATTCTCTTGAAAAGGATTGGCCTCTACAGTAGCCCACCAGCTACCAGAAGGCTGGATACGTTTATTAAGCCCAGAAGTTAAGAAGCAATTTGCAAATTAGGCTTCAACAGTTCTCAGCTTAAGATCATTTGGTTTAATTTTACTATAGTGGGAAAGTAACACACAGTAGACCAACTTTGAATCTGGCTCTTTTCCTGGTCTAGCCGCCCTGTGAATGGTCTCCTGATGTTGCTATCTGGGATGAAGCCTATCTCCCCACCAGTCCCAAGGTCACTAGGGAACACCTGCAACAGTCTGTCTCACTGTGCTTGCTATGCTAAGACCGTCAGTGGAGGAGCTGTGTCTGGTGCTGAGGGGGACAACCCAGCAGGCCTCACATGTGAGGCTAAATATGTGCTCCATCACTGAGCATTCTTTGTAGACTAAGGTCTCGTTACACAGACCAGACTGGTCTCAGACAGACCTGCCTGCTTCTGCCTCTCTGCTAGGGGTAAAAACATCCACCTCCATAACCTGTATAATTCTGATCTAGTCTTTAGTTCACAGTGGATTTGTTTGGTCTCAGTCCCAGGGTAAATGTAGCTTCTATAATTGGTGTGGCACCCTTATGCCGCTCTGCAATTCTGACAAGGGCCAGGAACTGGAGGTCAGTCCAGCAGCTTGGAGCCTGTTCACTGGGCACAGTATGCCAGCTCAAGGTTATGTCACACTGCCTCACTTTTTTTTTTTGGTTTGTTTGTGCACTAGGTCTCTGTGCTGACCCAGAAACTGAAAAAACACTGCATAGTCAATTACCAAGTTAAAACATTTTCTGGGCAAACTCATGGCTTTGTGCATCGTAAGAGAGAAGACTGTTCCCCTGCCGACAAGCCCTACATTGAGGAGGCGAGGAGGAACCTCATTGAATGGCTGAACAAGTTCATTTAGCAGCACTCAGGCACAGGGCAGCTGTCGGCCTGGAAATAACTGACCACCTGATTTACATGAATTACAGGAATCTTAAAATTCTTCTGAAACACAAATACAGCATAAACTAGGCTAAAAAATACTCAATGCAATAGAAAATCTTAATAAATGCTAGGTACCTCAAGAATGAAAATGATAGTGTAATTGTAGTTATTAGGGGAATCTGGAGCCATTCAGGGACCAGCTGGGTTCTCAGGCACGGCCTTAGATTGTCAACTGAACACTGTTAAAACAATTCACATGTAAAGCCAGAAGATCACGGAGTTGTCAACTAGGTAGGTTAAACCTGCCCAGATGTTATGGGCTCAATGCCATCCATATTCACTTCACTGTGAGCAGTGCCGGAATTCAGTTCCACTGACCTAATTATTCAATCTAATAAACTGTTTTTCTTTTTTTTTTTTTTTTTAAATTTAAGAATTTGTAGCTTCAGTTTTAAAGAAACACCCGTGTCTGTCTGTGTTCACTTTCCCCAAGCACTGGCATTGTGTGTTCAAGACTGGGCTGTAAGAACGAGGCTCCAGATGTCATCAACAATGTTCTGCTTTTAATGGGATCCACTGAAAACAGGCTGGCCTTGACCTCCTAGGCTTACACATTATGCCATACCAGCCAAAAGGGGTCTGTGCCTCAGCTGCCCTCTAAGCATCTGCTAGAGGGACAGTGGTGCCTATGCCAGTCTGACTGGCACCTGAGCTAACTTTGGCCACTGTTCAGCCAGCCAGTCTCCAGCACCGGCTTCACCAGTCCTGCAGTGTTGGTGCAACCTAGGAAAGCCCTCATGGACCCCCACAGCCAAGACTGCCCTGCCTCTCCTTTCTGGTGGGTAGCGCATGTTCCTGTCAACTGTGAAACTAAGCCCCGACAACAGGACAGCTAAGCTGGTCAAACAGTATCTATCTGGAGTGTATTTTTGCTTCCTTACACGGCTAACACAGCAGATGAAGGATGCTTATAGACATCTAAAGAACAGAGAAGCTGTGAGACTGCATCCTGCACTGAGCTCTGAACAAGGGCAACAGTTTCCAAACAGCTGCTTTTATTCCAGCATCTACAGGCCCTGATCGGACCAGTGGTTACTGTAGATGCAGCACGACACACCCTTTATTGTTTAGTCACAGTGGTGGATGGTACAATTTATTCTTCAGATTCTCCAGGCTTACGGATGTCATCAATCTTCAGAATCATTCTCACCATTTGTGTGGCAAGAGAGATCTGCTGCTTTTTGCCAATCAAGGTTTCTATGACGTGCTGAAGCTGCATATCTGAAAAAACAAACAGCAAACAGTGGTCCCCAGAGCATACAAATTCACTATCAACAAGCAGCTCCAATGTATGCAGACAACAAAGCTTAGGAAAAGTAGCAGGCTGTAGTATGCATGTCTGTGTTCCTAGTTACTGGGGAGGCTGAGGTTCACAGCCAGCCTGGGCAACACCAAAATTCCATTCCAAAACCAAAAATGGTCTAAGACGGTGCCATTTGTCAGTCATAGATAGAGAGGCTCATGGGGCCCTACATCTCCCTGCTAAACTACTGGCCCCTGGTGGACTCTGAGTGATCTTTGTCTTCAATTGTACCCACAGGTGAGCCCACCAGGCTCCACGACAGTTACAAACCTATAGTCACAGAGCTAGCCCTGGTTAAACTCAAACAGAACAAGAGGCAGTGGAAAGGGGAGTCAAAGGGAGGAAACAGGATCGGGAGGGCAAGAGTACTGAGAATACATCATATCTACACCTATATCCACCTATCTACAGCAATATTGGAGTGTCAAACAATGAAGTGAATAAAAACATGTATGTAAAGAAGGCTGGAGATGGCTCAGTGATTAAGAGCCTCAAGTACTCTTATAGAGGACCAGCGTTCCCAGAAACCACATGGCAGTTTACAACCATCCAATTGACTCCAGGGCCAGGGGATTCAGTGCCCTCTTCTGGTCCCCACGAGTACCACAAATACATGTAATAAATGAACGCAGGCAAGGCACTCATGCACATAACTTTTTCAAGACAGGAGTTCCCCGTGTAGCCCTGGTTGGCCTCAAACTCAAGCGCTGGGATTAAAGGCCGTGCATCACCACTGATGGCTAATAAATCTTAACGGATAAACGAAACCTCAAGCTAAGAATTTTAAAGCTGTGGCAGTCAACGGGCTACAGTTTTCCCTAGGTCATTTCCAGATGGATTTCCTTAGTACTGAGGATATGCTTATGTTGGAACATGGTAGCAGCAATTTTGTTCATCAGTGACGTGACATCTTAAAGCACAGGGAAATCATGTCTGTAATGCTGAGTCAGCAGACATTTCATGTGAGAACACGAACACGAATCACTACTATTTTGTTTTGGATGCTGATGTACACCTCCTGCTGGATGCTGGAGTCGTTATTGTCACAATACTTGTTCTGTGGTTGAATTCACTGCAGGGATGCAGGCATGGTTGTTTAGTAAATAAATATAGCAGAGTTTCAAAGAGCTAAATGTCTGCCACTTTTTCCAACAGCTGAACTGCCAAGCTGCTACAGAGTAACAAGTCTACCAAACACCCAAAGCCACAGGACAGCCAGGCAGCAGGGTGGAACTACTCTGGACAGTGTGACAGACACCTGGGTGAAGGAAGACAGTGTTGTACTGTAGTAAAAGGCGCTTGTCACTAAGACTATAGCAATCAACTCAAACAACTAAAATCAAGAACTTAGCTATCCAAGAGCATTCAAGAACTCACCAGGGAGGAGTTTATGTGTAGCAAGAGCATACCATCTTCCAAGTCAGTGGAAACCTGGTTCACTCACAGAACACCAACAAGCAACTCACCATTTGTGCCCTTGTGCAAACAGTCAATCCCAAGGGCAGGGTTGGACTCCTTCACTTGCTTGGCTCGGACTTCAGTCATGGTCTGGATGGGATTCATGCCACTGTTTTCTGAAAGGGCCATGGGGATGACCTCCAGGGCATCCGCAAAAGCTCTCATGGCATACTGCTCCAAAGTTGGGCACTGGAAGGGCACAGGGGCAGTGAGTGCACTTGGCAAGAGCCAACACGACCCAACAGCAGTTCCTAAGCATACACTGGCACACTTACTCAGGACAAGCTTAATAAACTACGATTACTTTATAGGATGAAGGTGATGGGATATAACATTCCTGAAACCAGACAGCAGTTTTCATTGTGATTCTGCCCGTTACCTTATCTGCCTCTTGGCTGACTGCCAGGGCGCAGGAGATTTCAGCAGCCCCTCCTCCATACACAACTCGATTGTCTCGGATGAGGTTTCGGATGACACACAAGGCATCGTGGAGGGATCGCTTTGCTTCTTCAATGATCTGGGGAGAAGGTCATGTCTTGGCACCTCATGTGGGCAGAGCAGACCCTGGACCCATGGAGCCACCTCCCAGCTCAAGGACGGATCCTTACCATCTTGTTTCCTCCTCGGATGAAAATGGTCACAGCTCTAGAGTTCTTACATTGCTCAATGACCAGCATTTTGTCTTTTGTAGTGCCAAATGAGATCTCTCGCACCACACCAGCAAAGCCCAGCTTCTCAGAGGTAAGCTCTGAGAACCTCGGGACGATCCGTCCTCCTGTTGCAATGGCGATCAGCTGAGAGGACAGACAGATGTGGTCAATGCTGGTGAACTTCCAAAACTGGACCACAGTGAACGACACTTAACCCAGGACCATGTTGTTCACTCATTAGACTAACAGGCCGAGGAGTGGTACTACCCAGCTCTGCTGCAGTCAATTCCCAACCCATCTTACAGTCTGGGTGCCCTGTCTGCGAACACAGCTCACATGTCCCCAAAGCACAGCTGGAGCAGAAGGAAAAGGGCAAGTCCAGATCAGGATTTGGGAGAGCTGTTCCTACTCTGCTGCCACAGTACTAGATGTTCCTGCCCCCAAAAGCCAATAGAGAAGCCCAGAGAGTTGACTATGCAACACCAGAAAAAAAAAAACCTTGTCATTCAAACAAAGACCAATGTTCTACCAGTTACTCTTCCTCTAAGCTGTTGCCTTTTGGTGTGGTGTGGTGGTTGTTTCAGGCAAGTACTGTTGAAGTGGCACCGAATACAAGTATGCATTGCAGGCTCACCCCACACCCAGCAAGGGTTCTGCATGCTGGCCTCCTACCTCAATCTCAGGGCCTCCTACCCAGCGAACTGCAGGGAGGGCATTCTGAAGAAGTAGATGATTGGCTTCATCATCAAAGCCCCACTGGCAAATAGCCAGGTTAGCACCAGTTTCTTTAATCTGGGAAAAGAAATGCCACAATTCTTATTAATAGCAAGTTGGTATTTGTTCCTTGTTACATGATCTGAAAAAAAGGGAGACCTACAGCAGTGTGTGAGGTCAGTGCACTGAAAGAAGGAAATATACAAGTGTGTGTCTTATCTGCTCCTCCCAACACTAACACGTGTAGCCAAAGGAAACCAGTTTGCTTTCCAAACTAGGCTTTGATTCCTAGCTCTCATTTGCTCCATTCAAGCCCAGGAGAGCTGGAAAGGAAAGGCACAGCTAAGACACCAAACTTGCAAGGCAGTCTAGGACAAGTGGTTCTTCTTACTGTACTCATTTTTGTGCCTGACACTGAACACTGGAGACACTGTACGTTATTTGTAGCCAGGCGACAAAGTCTGCAGATGGCAATTCTGTTAGTGCCCGTGGAGTTGGTTCAGGGAGTACTAAAGGACTCACCTGTTGAATCATCTCTTCAAACTTCTCCTTTTCATATTTCTGCAGGGCTTTGTAGTCCTCCACAGACGTCACATCCAGCTTGTGCTTCGTCTTCGGTTTAGGTGGCTCAAATGGACACGTGAGAATCGCAATCTTAGCATTTTCCACTTCCTATGGGGGAAGGAAACAAACACCTGAAGTGCTGGGGCTGTGTTAAAAGCAGTGTAGAAGTGTGAGAGCACTGACTTACTTTTGGCATCTGTGGGTGGCTGAAGTCCTTATCGACGATCACACCTTTTATCAGCTTGGTGTCCTCTAGCCTC